TTTTGCTTTAGGACGACCGACAGATCATCTGCAGCAGCAACAGATGCAAAAAGAACTTCAGCTGGAAGACCAGAAATACAATGATTTGATTCAGCAAGACTTCTTGGATACTTTTCACAATCTTACTCTTAAATTGCTTTTGCAGTTTAGCTGGGTGAATGCCTACTGTCCTCATGCCAGGTTCATTATGTCTGCAGATGATGATATATTTATCCATATGCCAAATCTTGTTGCTTATCTCCAAAGTCTAGCACAAATGGGTGTTCAGGATCTCTGGATTGGTCGTGTCCATCGTGGATCCCCTCCCGTTAGAGACAAGAGTAGCAAATACTATGTTCCGTATGAAATGTACCAGTGGCCCTCTTACCCTGACTACACAGCAGGAGCTGCATATGTAATATCAAATGATGTAGCAGCAAAAGTATATGAAGCCTCACTGACTCTCAATACAAGTCTTTATATAGATGATGTTTTCATGGGTCTTTGTGCCAATAAAATGGGAATTGTACCACAATATCATGTATTCTTTTCTGGGGAAGGAAAAGCTCCATATCATCCCTGCATTTATAACAAAATGATGACATCTCACGGACATGTAGATGATCTTCACCAGCTCTGGAAGCAGGCTACAGATCCCAAAGTTAAAAAGTTTTCTTCAGGGATTTGGGGTAGAATATACTGCAGATTAGTCAATATTGTGCTTCTCTGTAAACTATACTATGAAGACACATACCCTTGTTCAGCTGCATTTTCTTAATACTTGAATATCTGCGTTGAAGATCCACTGAGCCAAAACAGAGCAACAACTTTTTAGCTGTTTATTCAAAATATATGTAAACATGGAAAGAGGTAAAACTTAAATGTGAATAGCTGGGGAGGGGAGGGTGTGGGGTGGGGCAGGAGAGATGGTCCCAAATTCTGTTCAGAAACTTATTGGAATAGCTCTCCTATTGTACTGCAACTTTTTACATTGTAGCCTGTTTTTTTTTACACTCTTCAAGGGATGCAAGTCTGGATTAAATGAACAATAATGGACTTGACTTCTAGACTTTGAAATGCTTGGTGAAAATGTCTGTTCATTTGAACTTGTCAGCAAGTCTTAAGGTTTTTTTAAAAAAAGCTATGTGAACTATGGCACATGATGATAAAAATCTGCTATATCAAAATGGAGTAGACCTTTCAAAATACAAGGAAAATACAACTTCTGACTTCATGAATGAGACTACTGCAGTAGTTTAAGGCAATGTGAATTGGTTACATATATTCACCATTTCTCAGTGCTTCACAGATAGTAAGTCTGGACCTGCACAATTGACAAACAGTGCTAGAAGTGAAGACCTGCTACAATCTTTTTCTCAAAGCTCCCTAAATCTTTGAAACAGGGAAACTGTTTGAGTGCCCTCTGACTTGGTTGTTTTAAATAAACTGGGTCCTTTTAGATCAGGACTGAACCTGAAAGGATAAAAATCAAATATTACTCATGTAACTGGTTTTGCTAATCTTTCTCTGCCTTCTGAAAACTGAAGCAGTATATATAAACTGTCCAGTCTTTAATAAGAAAATAAGCTAAATGAATTTTCTTTTAACAATGCTTCTGCTTTCCAGTATTCATGGTTCTAAAGGTTAAAAGCAAGCAAAAGTCCCTGAGAATGTTACTTACAGCTAATTTGAAGCTGTTAAGAGTTTTAAAAGCAAAATTTTATGCTTCTACTAACAGAGGGTATTTTCTGCACAAAGTTTGACTTCACAGTGAAGGGGATAGGGTGATGTTGATCCACAGAAAGTCAGTACACAAATGAAAATCACTATAATATCTCTTCTGAAGTCTTAAGCACAAGATTGTCTTTAAAATTTTAAGGTAGTTTGTGTCCACAAAGCCCTGTATCTTGAATATATTTCAATGTTAATACCACCTGCAGGAAGAACAGAACACCTGTGCATTGTAAATCAGGATAAAAGTGATGTTCAAACTCCAGCCATTATGAGTTGTACTTGTGGTGCCATATAAATATCATAGAGAACCAAAGTTCTAGGATGTCTGCCGTCTTTTCTTGTATAGCTCACTAATGGTGTTTTCACAGACTCTCAGGACATATATTTTTAGTTGCTAATTGCCAAACCTGTGGTAGCTCTTCTGGAGTGGACACAGAGCCCTCACCAAGGTATGGTCCAATATTGCTTGTGAACTGATTTGATGCTGGATTAAGTTCCAATGTGGATGGTGCCAGAAAACTACTTCTGAAAGCTTAAATGGGTCAGGTTTATCAGCAGAGCAGTAATAATGCTCACAAATTATTGAGACTCTGTTGAAAGTGGGCTAATTGCAGGAGCAATACTACTTGTTTTCTGCCTAAGACTAGCCTTTTTCTTCTGTCTGAAGCTTCTCACTGTGTGGAGCAGTGAGGTACTTGGTCTGCATCTTCTGACTTTACTGTAGAACAGCTATACAGGACTTGACAGTTTTAAGCTGCAAGTTGTAAACTTTGTTTAAATAATTTCTACAGCTCTTGGAGCTGTGCTGCACGTTTTAATCATTTGAAAGGCTAATGGTGTGTGTTAGCATAGACAGAATCCAGGAGTGAGCTTGCTGACTGTTCTCTAAGCTGCCGTTTCAGATGGATGGTAGGTAGCTACTGGAATTAAGTGAAACACATAACTTTCTATAATTGGTTTTCCAGAAGGAAAAAAAGAAGAATCCTAACTGGACCCAAATGTTGGGTATATAGAGTCCACAAATAAATAATTTATCAGTGTTGGAATGATTGAAGAACGTAACAGCTATACTTTAGAAAGAACAAATCCAGTTCATGTTCTTGCCTAAACAGATTGATTACAGTACTGAGGATGTGTGTGGGTATTTAAAAAAAAAAAAAAACCAACAACAACCAAACACAAGACAACCCTGGATCTATATAACCCGTTGGCTTGCAGGGAGCTAAATGCACATATAGAGAAAGTAGTATTCTGTACTGAAGGAAAGCTGCTTTATCAGATCTCTGACCTGTTGTGAGCCATTTAAACCAACAAGCTGCACAGCAAAACTGCGCTACTAGAAAAAGCCACGGTGTTCACTGTAGGGAAAGAGGGTCTTTGTATGCAGTATGCAGCCAGAATGTACTATTAAGACTACAATTTTTACCAGCTTAACTATGTTGGGATTTATTGTTTTCACTCATACAAGCCAAGGTAAATTTAGTTTTAAGTAGCTTAAACTTCTATAGGGTAATGACCTAGCTAACATCTAAAACACTGCTTAAATGTAGTTTGCCATTATTTGAAAGTCACTTTCGGCCACTGAAATACTTTGTTTTACAGCTGGTTTGAGTTTTGTTTGGATTGTTTTTTAATCTTAAAAGGGCCTTGATGTTTGTAGTATGCATTTTCTTTTGCTGCAGTGAAAATAAGTTGCTTGTTGAATAAAAAGGAAAGCATGAAGGCACTCCTTTCAGAAATGGAGACGCTAGAAAACATATTATTTTCTGGTTCTAAACACAGACTTAAGATTTGTACACCTTTATCTGGAACCTTTTTTAACAATAGTCTCGGTGCTCCAATGCAGGGCTGTCAGGTTTTACTTTTACAAATAAAACTGTTACTAGCCTGAATGGTCACTCCTCATTAAGAGTTTGACATTGTTGCACAGCATATTTAATGCTAAAATTGTTTTTACCTGTTTGTTTGGTTTGCATCAGTTTCCCTTTGATATTACTAATTTTTATACAAGTGTTCAATATTTATTCTTAAACTTTGCTCTGTACCACAAAAAGACAATTGTTTTGTAAAATTTGTTTTGAATAAACAGACTTATTTCTTTTAAAAAAAACCAAAACAACACTGCAAAGGTAATATCTCTTGTTGCTTTCTTTGTAACAGACAGGCTCATCTCATGCTTTTAAATGCTATTCAGAGTTCCCACTGAGCAGAGGTCTTCAAATTTCCTCTCCCCCCTTCTGCCTTGAACCAAACATTTTGTAGAACAAAAGGCAAAATTGGTGTTGCCAAGAAATACCAAGCTTCTAGGCCTAAAGTGGCGTAAAACCACCAAATATTAGAAGTTTAACTTGTTAATATTAACTCCAATTTACGTTCCCTTTAGGCAATCATTCCTCAAGAGATGTATATCTATCTAAAGAAGTTCTATTTCAGATCACACTTTGCAACTTGAAAACTAGCTGATGGAGAGCAGTCATAGTATTTTCATAGGGTATAATTAAATCCAAATAGTAATAAGTTGCATTTTTGTATGTCTCCAATTTCTCTAGCATAATATCAAGCTAGTGTGTTTAGAACGTACTCTTTTGCATCTAGTTACTTCAGTGTATACCTCTGAGATAAAGGCATAACGTAAGTATAAATTATCTAAATCATACTGAAGAGGAGAACAAAGGAAATTAAGTCAGTGAGGATTGTGGGGCCTGGCTTGTTTCAGGGTGGGTTTTGTTGTGGTTTTTTTGTTTTGTTTTTCTTTTTAATTGCTCCCTTTGGTCTAGAAACAGTGCAGTTCAACTAAATTAAACTGGGTTTGCTTGGTACTTTTGTTAAACTAAATGACTCAAGAATTTGGTGTTTTAGAGTACCTCATTAGTCTCTTTCTAAAGACTTTGCAGAAAGGAAGAAAAGATTATTGCTTGCATATAAAAAACCAGAAGCTTCTCAGAGGCATACAGTCAAATACAAATATCCTGAACACAATGAGATGATCTTTAATACCGCTTTCTTGTAAATACATGCAAGGCCTGTTCTAATCACTTACTTTCTTATGTCATGTAATTAATGCTAAGAAAAAAATTGGAAAAAACCCGTAACGGCAAGCCCCCAAACGAAAAGATACATCCTGCTTGTTTTTCCAGCTGATAGTGTGTATAAATGCATGGCTACGAGCATTTCAGTGACTTGATTATATCTGGTTAGTTATTAATCTCGGCAAACTTCAGTGAAGTGGTAGAGAATGTACTATAAATGCAGTTATTTGCATTCTAAGAACAAAAAAATGGCCTTACCTCCTCCTCGTTGACAAGTTCTCATCACTTTCACTCATCACCAGCACTCTGCTAGATCCTCCTTGACTAGCTTCATGCATCACTTCAATCTGAATAAAAAGGACCCATTAAAAGTGAAAATACTTAATTGCTGATGCTCTTATTTAGAGAATTTTAACTCTTTAATAAAAATTGGATCCTCCCTAGATTAGTAAATCACTGGGCAAGTTAAAATAATTGAATTCTATATATGCAGGTTGTAAATCAAGAATGTATTTGCTCAGTATTGGCATGGGAGGCATTCTTGACTCCAGGCAAAGTCTTCACGATCTTTTACCATTGAAGGTGAATTATCTCCTTATGTAGATAATTACAGGCATAACAGTTTGTTCCCTAGACTCCAAAATATAATTTTTTGTTTGTTTCCTGCCTGAAGCCAACCTAAAAACTTAACATTTCCATTGTTCTTTGTACAGTGCCCTATGGAGAACTGTCTAGGGAATCTAGCTCGTGCCTCTGAGCAGTGTCCTTGCACTAGTAGCAGTATATACGAGACAGCGCATACCCTCAGTTCCTGAGAACAGTATGTATGTGCAAGGGCTGTCCCCAGGTTGAAATGGACTGGGGCTTTTTATAATATTTTGATAACATTAACCTACTTCATTGTCCAGTCTTGCAGAGTTGGATCACTTTAAGTGTGCTCCAGGCAAGTTTTAAGCAGGCTTTTACTCCTTTTTGCCTGCAGCCTTGAAAGTATCAAGCACTATTTGGGTTTCTTCAAATTGGGTGAAACAACTCAGCTGCTGAGTCTGCAGTTAATCCCAGTCAATATCTAAACAGTGGTAGAGTCTTTTAAATTCTTGACAACTTTAGTTCTTAAGGGCTGATTCTGGGGAAAAGAAAAAGCAGTAGCCTGTTTTATATGCTATATAGCTAAATTATTTAGCTGGTTGGTGATGATGGTGGACTCCATTAATATTAAAACTATCCTCACTTGAACTATTATCAGAACAAATAAAATACAAATAAACTTTATAGCAACAATGGGAAGGAAGGAGAGGGAGAGACAACTTGCACTGTAGTCTTCAAAGCAGATTTAAAAATGAATGAATGGATTATAAAGCCTGAACCACATTGTTGCATATACCTGTGTGGGAGGAATGCAACTGATTACCTGCACTGCTGATGAGAATAATTCCAAAGTGACTTTCTGTGAAATTAGACTAAGGTGAGACCAGCTCTATGTTCCTTCTGATAACTAGATTTTATTCTGTGTTTATTGCTGAAGTTATAGGCTGGTTTGGCCATTTCAGAAAACGGACTGAATTTAAATTTTGTTATTCAGCTTTAGGGAAATAAAGGTCAAATGAATGAGCAAGTCAGGGGTATGGATAGAAGAGTTGGGTTGAAGTAGTTTGCATTGTATGAAAAGTTAAATAATTGAGTTGTGTCAGGTAGACACGATGCATTTTTAGGTTTTTGTGCCTCAGGGTAACACTATTCCTACTCCCCCCTAACTATTCCCATCTCCTCCAGAAAAAAAACAACACAATGAAACAAACAAAACCCCCAAACAACTAGTTCTGATCTGTGTGGAATTTGTGTACTAACAGGATTTAGGCCAAAGTAGCACATCATGCGTGGCTGTTACTGGTGTAAGAAGTGCTAATGTAAGAGTTTCATTCTGTGAATTAATCATTAAAAATCAGAAAGCCCAAAATGCTTCTTTTAAAAATACTTTCATTAATAATGGACTAAACTGAAAAAGACCCAGAGAACTTTAATCATGAAATCTGATCAGTGTTATTGGCTATGTTCTCATATAGAGCTCACCTTTAAAATAACTAATGAACTATGAAAAGGTTAACAATCACAACTCCAGGGGCTCGTGTGTCATCTCCTTTCCCTGGTAAATAACCTAATTTAGGTTACTTCTTTTCCCCAGAGATGTACTAAGAAAGCTTACTCCCTTCCTCCTTTTCTGCCCCAAAGTGCTGAACAGTGTGAAATGGGCTACTTGCTGTTTTCATCACACTGCCATGAGGCAGCCAAATCAAGATAATACCTCTCCCACACTACCCAACTTCTTTTGCTATTTTTTTCTGAATATTAGTTGTATTTCCCTCAACACAGTCAGAGCCCTCTCATTTTTTTCTTTCTCAAAACATAAATTGTGGTTTTTTTTCACCATTCTAATAACATGCTAAAGAACTAATATTATGAATCTTAATGCAGGGAACGTGCAAGAAAATTATGGCAAAGGGATGTTATTATTTTAAAGGTTGTGGGCAAATGGCACTGTATCTTTTGATATTTCTTATTTTTGATAGAATTGTAACTAAAGGGGGTGCTGACAAAGTTACGAAACATTTGTGCACAGACCATTTAGAATACAACTTGAGTGGTGGTACTCCAGTCTCTTTTCACAGGGATATTTTACATGGTCTAAACCCAAACATTTTAAAGCCAAATGAGTCATTACTTGAATTTGACAGGGAGAAAAACCACCATCTGGGCTCTGCAAGCAGCTATTTCAGCTAGCCTGGGCAAATTAAAAGTTTCAGGATGTAGCTGCACTTCATCTGAGCTGCAGGAATTGCAGATGAATGAAGTTTCTGGATCCTTCTGTTTCCAGTCTTAAAATACTGAAGGAAGGCCAAACGCCTGTCTTGAGAGCTTGTTATCCCAGTCAGTTTCTACAGCTGAAACAAAAGACTTTGTGGTAAGGGCTGGGTTTTTAAAATGCTGGCAGGCTTGGGAATAGGGAAGAAAGGATAAGGGTGGCCAAAGAACCCTAAACAGAATCTTGCTGCAGAAACAATAATGCAACAAATCTCATCATAGAGATGCAAAAGCAAAATACATTTCTCTGAACATTACTTGCCCATGCAGCGACAGGTAACAGTGGAATTTTTCTTTATTTTTTGGTTGGTTGGTTTATTTTTAAGCATTAAATGTCTAGTCTTTCCTCCTTTACGTAGAAACTACTCTTATAAAATATTTAAATGAGAAAAAAAAACATATAACTTTGTAAAATAGTGAACATAACACAACTTCAGAGGAGCTGGAATAAGATTCTGGTTTTAGAAACAAAAGAGTTCATATGCTGTAAGGAAGGATGGGCGTTTTGGATGCACTTTAATGTATTATTCCTGGACATTCCCTCCACATTTCCCCTTTTGACCTTTGAAAATTATTTCTACTTTAGCATAACTTGGTTTTCCATGCATATGAACATAAATCTTTCTTAACACTGTCATCTGAGTCACTTTGAAACTGCAACATGAAGTGTAAAAAAAAAAATAAATAAAATCACTTAGCAGAAAGTTAACTTAAAAAATTTAACATTTACAATATAAATATGTGAACCCTTATTTATGTTGTCTTGAGTTCTCTCACAGTATGGGATGGCCCCCAAAAACCAGATACTCCTACCTTAATTCCACCTTTAGTCTTCTTAATGTTTTTCTTTTTTGATAACTCTACTTCAGAAATGGACTTCGGAGGACAAGAAATTTCTGTGGACCTCCTGTTGGTAGCTGAAGGAGTCAAAAAGAATCTCACATTAGGAAATGTGTGCTAAAGTTGAAATCCTACTTCCTAATAACAGTAATGAGCAAAGTTCCTGTCACATCAGCGGTGAGACGTGGCTTAGAGAACTGAATGGCGGCTAGAGCGGTGAAGGACCAGCTGGCTCAGGGGATGGGCCATGTGTTTGGTGCTGCACTGTGTCTTGAATTGGCACTTATGGCTCCATGCTGTAAGTAATTTGGTTTGGCTTCCTCCCTGGCAAACATCTTCAGGGTAGCAGAGGTAAGTGTTAGCCAGCTGTATCAACAGTTGGGTAATTTCCATGTGCATAGGTTTTCAGCTCAGGTGGTGTTACATGTGTGGGTTCTGAAAGAAAGGAAATGTTGGTTCTGGTAATAGTTTGTTAGTATCAGACCATAAGGTTTCATCACCATGTATGTAATGACATACATTTCAATTATTTCAGGATATGCTCTGTTGTATCAGGTTTGTTGGGCGTTGCAGGCTCTGTAACCACAGCTGACCATGAGCTCTTCGATGCTACTAGAACATCATTCCTAGCAACTTAACCACTTATCCTGAGACTGTTGTCCAAAGAAAAGGTTTAGAATGAACTTAGGGAGTCATACATTGGGCTTGAGTATAAAATCATCCCATTGTTACAGCTTAGATCTTTGTTTTAAATTCATAATAATTTCACAGTGTATGTTATATAAGTATGAGACAAACAGTGCTCTCCTTTTTCTTAGTTGCTGAATTGATACAGGCAACCATGCATGTCATGGTAAAAACAACTATGAATACTAGATAAAATGATGAAAGAATTTGGGTCAGGCAACAGAGAACAGAACTTTTGTAATTCTGAGATTAGGTCCTTTTTGGTTTTATTCAGGAAAACTTTCTAATTGAACAAGAACTTTTCCAAAAATAAAAGGTGGTGTTTTTAAGTTTCAAATGTTCTGTTTAAAGTGGTTTCACCAAGTTTCATGTTTTGATGTGTTGACACTCTTGGTTGTCAGTAATAATTTTTTCTTCTTCTCCAGGAGAAGCTGAGGGATGTAATAAAAAAGGTGCAGACATCTTTGAATGGGGAGGATATTGACAGATTTTCCAATGCCCTTGTCATTAAATTCTTTTAATGTAGGAAAAAAAAAAAAAAAGTCATAGAAACACCCCGAATTATATGCTGTTAAAAAGAGTATCAGTTTCATAGACAGTAATAACATAAGCTGACACTTCTACCCTGTGTCTTTTCAACTGCCTTATCATGCAGCTGGGAAGAGAATTAATTAAAGCAGCTTCTCTCCAACTCTTTCCTAAATCTTCCTGGTTTTATTCCGTGCTGAATGACACAAGGACTTGGCAATGTCCATTTCATGCCTATTACTTTCTCACAATAACTCCATATTAGAAAGTTTCTTCAATGGAACAGCAAAGTCTGGCAACCACCAGCAGCTATAATCAACGGGTAGAAGATTCTTGTGGTTCCCAGGACTGAGCTGAAATACAAATGTTGAGACCATTTGGTTCTTCCATCACACTCTTTTAGAATATACAGCAGGGGATTTGTTTTGGTTTGGAGTACTACTTTCAACAGATGTCTTTTTCCCATCTCCCAGAAAGCTCTCCATAGTAATTGTTCTCTCACCCCTGAAGTGGTGTACTGACATTTTGAAACCAAGCGGGAAAAAAAGGCAAGACACGCAGCAAATACAAGCTATTTGTCCTTATTTAAGTCAAAGTTATTCATACTCTTCTGATCTACAGAGGCGATGATTTCTACCATTGGCAAAACCAGAATACCAACCTTCATCACCTATTTTACGAATTTTTAAACAGGCTCTTTTATGTTTTTCCCCATGAATCCCTGAGTAAAGAGCTTGCAAACATCAACGAATTCACTCTTGTCCATTGTAATACATCCCGAAGGTTCTATTTAGCTTTAAATTCTCATCTACCACCATCTTGACATGATGCCAGCTGTAATCACACTGAACAATATTATTTCCTGCAGTTACTCCCAGCTATATACTATTTATAACTTGAAAAATCAGCATTAAGAAAAATAAGACTTGATTACAAAAATTCTGATTCAATGAAAGGAAACCAAGACATTGTTTCATACTCTTCCCCACACACTTTCCAGGCACTCCTAAGTACCTTAGATATGCTACCAGTGTCCAGTTATGCTATCTAAATCTGAGTTCAATCCATTAGATTGCTCTGCAAAGCTAATCCCCAAGTTTTATATCTACTGGATGTGTTATTAAAAGGAATGGAAGCAAAGCATGTAACTTCAGGTAACGTGAACTTTTACTCAGAATGGCACAGTCAGCAATACCAAGTTGTTTGACCTATTCATTAATTAGAAAACTTTCTGGCTTGAAGGTATGGTTGATACTGGTATGAAAATCCTGGCTGAAATCAGTCAGCAGAAAACTAAACCACTTATGACTTTGATGGCTGGATCACAGTTTACAAACTCAGACAGCTCCAGGTGATGCAGGAAAGAGAGCACTGGATAGTTTAAGTGAAAGGTGACACATTCACCAAAAGCCCAAGTGCAGATGCTCCTTCATCTAGCAGCTAATTGCTCAGGTCAGTTGACTAGCTTAGTCTCGGCTCCATCTGTATGACCTGTCTCAGAAAGGAGGCGGCAGATACAAGATAAGAAAGCAGTCAAATCTAGCTGCTTATATTTTAGGGGTGAATTTGTTTCAGATTGACACAGCAAACTTTCCCCTTCCAATCTGACCCAGAAATGAATTGAAAACAGGAAGCAATCTGTTTTCGGTTACGTTCCAGAGTATTTTTGAATTATCGACTGGCCCATATTCAGAGACTGCTGCATGTCACACTACATTTAAGTAGTTTCTGGAGCAATTTGGAAAGAAACAGCCCAAATACCTGCCAATTACTATTGCACTAATTACTGTGGAACTGGAAATATTTTATAAGGGGAACTCCCATATAAAATTCAGTACAGTTGGCTGTTTCAAGGTCATTACTGTACCACTGAGGAAGCTGAAACAGTCAGTGTTCAACTGCCTACTGAAAGAACAAAGGCACAGGCACAAAGGAAAATGATACCTATCCATAAACATTTTAAGGTCTCAATGCTTTCAAGGTTGTTTTCATCCTATTGTTTCACAGTGCTCTCCTGAATCATGAGTAATGAAGATTTCATTTTGAACTCATTAATATTTTAAATTGCTTGATGCTCCTTTTAAAGCAAGTATTGTTAAAGGGCATTGTATTTTATTGCAAGAATATTTACAGTAGAGCAGGGCTTGGGTCTATCACTTGCATTCATCTGGAGCACCACTGTGCTTCTTCTATGGGGCTTTAGTACTGCTTAGTTTTTTATGATAAATATGGAATTACTGTTTTATTACCTAGCCTACAGCAAATGGCAGTGTGGGCTGTACTGTCCCTAAAGCTGCCAGGAAAGGACACAGATTTGTGTGCTCAGTGTTGTTTTGCAGTCTCTCCACCACTTCAGGACTGAAATAAATTCAGTGAGGACAACTTGCTCTGCTGCTTGTGAGGAAAGGCTGTGGTTTCACTCATTTCCCCATCCTGCTCCTGTGTGGCAGGGTACAAGTACTATCTGTCAGGCATTCATCTCTCATGGGGTGGGGGTGATGATCACATCACAGAATGAGGCACCACCACAACTGTGTGCAGCTCCCAGGTGCTCAGAGACAGGTGGATTAGTCCACTTGGGTAACTGGCCTCAAGTTTGCTCCTGCTAGAGTAAATGTAACTCATTAGCTAGCAAGAGACACAGAATCTAGTCGAGGGTTAAGACACACACTCAGCACTTGTAAGACATTCAAAGCCCCCCTCAAATAACTACCACGCCTTACCTTCGGGTCTTGTGTGAATTTCCCAACCACATCCTTCCCTACCTGTTTTCTGTGGAAGAGTCTTGTGTGCTCACTAATCACCCGCGGCAGAATCAAACTCCTTTGGCAAGAACAGGCATTGAAACTAGTCTGCTAAACTGTTTATTGGGGCTTGCAGCTCATGCTGTCCCACAGGAACATGAATTTGAAGATAATTAATGACTTAGTATTTGTTTTAAACACTGGTGATGACAAAACAGCATGCTTAGGCAGCTAAAGAAACAGCTAAGCATCTAAGGTTTATCATTTCATGGCTTAATACCAAAAGTATTTTCCATTCTGAGGCAATATAATCTATACTACTTTGCTCTAGCAAAATTGCCTTCAAGCCCATGGAATATTATTCTACAGACACACTGCTTGGTTTCCTCAGACTTGCCCAAGTGTGACAGCAGCCCTGCTGCCACAAAATTGAAAGCATCTTTTCCTTTTCTCTACTTTGTTTATAGAAATATCTTGAACTATAGAAACTGGTGGTTTCCCAAAGCCATTAATGAAAATCATATGCATCATCTTTTCTGAGTCAGCTAATCTCTCTGCAGCCTCACTTCTCCTGCACACATCCCCAGACTTTTGCAAGACATTCTTCTTTTATCCTCTATCCAGATGTTACTAGTTAGTGAGCGTTATGCATTAGTGACTGTGACGGGAATGGATCCAATGAGCAGTTGTACACTTTTAACTGAGATGGAACCAGTTTAAGTTTTAGTATTTAAAGAACTGAAAAGGCTCCAGCTGTGTTCCCCCATATGAATTTCATGTTCCAAGTTGGCCTTCTAAGATGCTTGTAGGGCGAGTCATGGATTTTGTATGTGCAATGTGCTGTTAAACATGTTATTTGCTTAACGAGCTCACAGAAATTTTGATATTTCTGTGCCTGTATTTCACATTTATGTTGGACACCAAGAAATCCCTAGGTGAAGATCTTATAGCATTTAGAAGACAGGAGATGCCAGAAGCAAAGCTACATTTGCAACCCTATTTTGCCCCTTTGCTGCTGAGGCATCTTGGTCCACCCCCCTCAGAGTCCTTGCCTCATTGAGTGCATGGAATCAAAACCACTTAATTCTTGAGCAGCTATTCATTATTCTGATTTATCTGTCTTTCTCAGTGGGGGCCCAGAGCCTTACTATACATATGCTATTTCAATCCCTGATCTGAAAATAATTGTGTTTTGGCTAATGGTCGTTTTTACAATTCAAGTGCTTCATAAATATTTACCGAGCTGTTTTCACAACACTTCTCAGAGGTAACAGGCTGTTATCAACCACACTGAGATCTCTGAGTTCCATAGATAAAGATCAAAAGAGAATACACTACTTTGGGAGACCAACTTTACATTTTTAGAACTGAATTTTCAGGTTACCAAGTATTATATGCCATTTCACACATTCAGGAGCACATGCCCTGCCCAGTAGTTCTGATTTCAGTCTTCCACTGCTCTTTCAATGTAGATGTCTTCGTTTAGTTGCACAAGTTATCAAAAACAAACCTCCCAAATTGCACTAAATCGAATTACATTAACACCCGTAGGGGTTTTTAACAGGGTTGAAACCTTTACACCTACAGCACCAGATTCTCTTTTCCATGTCAGCAGGAGTAAGCAGCAGTAAGTAGTCACAGTTTCAGGGGTGACTCCAGAACAGTTGAAACCCAACTGGTGGAGTTCTCCCTTTCCTCCCAACTTCTGGCCACACACTTCTGTCTCCTTTTTTGGCAGCGTTGCCGTTCATGGGACTAGATGATGATGAGCTGAACTAGCCAAAACAAATCAAAAAACCCCTCCACAGTGACAGTTCCCTCCTTTGTTCCAACTAGTTATGGGACCAGAGGTACTGAGGGAAAGCAGTCACCAACTGCTGTGCAGGGCAAAGAGAAGAGGAGAAGGGGAGATTGTGGCAGTCCTGCATTAAGAAGGGCTTAAGCTGCTGCAGGATCACACTGCAAGGAAACAAGCAGTGCAGGGGATAAGGAACATATTCTGTCTCAGGGTTCCACAGATTTTTGCTGACAACAAAGGAAATGAGACCATAGGAGCCAAACTGTAGCAAGTTCATACATAATGAATGTGTATGTACTGAGATTTTTTTTTTCCCCCACAAGTTTATAATTCTGCCAAATCTGGACACTTTAGGAAGGGACGAAACTCTTTTGTACTGTCCTGTTGAAGCTCTTCTCACGAAGGTAACTAGAGGAAGACAGTTTTCCTAGACTTGTTCACTGAGATGGCCAAATCATTTTTAACTGACATTTTCCAAGAGAGTGTCAGGCTGAAGAAGATAGCCTTCGGGAAACTTTCATTTCAAAGAGCCAGAGTTTGGGAGAATTACAAGCAAATTAAAATAGAGAAATGCTAACTACAGTCATCTCTAATAGTTTATACTATCCTTTACAGTTCCGTGGCATAGCCCTGTGTGCCTGACAGCATATAGGCAATGCGAGCCCACACAGTTTGACTTTGTGGACCCATCCCAGTTCAGTTAAGGAGTTTTGTACAGAAACACAGACCACAAATATGTAGTCAAATCACCAAAAATTATGCCCTCAGAAGTGAACTAGAGCAAAGGAATTTCCCCATTAAGTGCCACTTCTTTCCTCCCAACACATACAGGGACAAGTTTAGCCATTAGCAGTATTCAAGCAGCTTCCATTGGGAGTAAACAGTTCTCCTTGAAATAGTGTTATATACACACTACTTAAATATTTTCAATGCATTTATTATAAAAGGGACAGCAGAGGGTTTTCTGCCTTTTCTGAGTTGATCTGTGAATTCTATTTAAACAGATTTCCACAGCTAAAATGTGCACCAAGTCCAGCTGGCATAGACTTTTGAGCATCATAATTCCAGTACTAGTTTTTCAATGCTGAACAGGCCTGTCCCTGCAAAATTTACAAGTTTGGATGCGAAACTAAAAGTTTCAAGCAAAAATGGTATGAATTTAAAATTTTGTTTCAGAATTTCGAGACCCACAGAAAAGCATTGGGTGAGGTAGAGTTTACAGTGCAGCTCCGAGCTGCCTTTCTGGCACTTCACTAAGCTAAAACCTTGCCTAGGGTCACCAGAGACCATAAGGACAGAGACATAAGGAACTGTCACAGGTGTTTCCCTGGTAGAAGTCTGCCCTTTCTCTCATACATGGTGTCAGCTCTCTGCCTGTACACACCTATGTGTATGTCCATGTAAAATGAAGAGTCTCAAGGTAACAATAATGGAGGATTTCATGCCTGAGCCTTCACGTCTGTTAAGATTTTTCCATTAGCACCCTGAATTGGATTGAATTTTCCCTACCGCTCCTTGTTAGGGAAATGAATAGTCAGCAAGTAAAACCAAAATGTATTCTGGAACAAACGTAACTTTTTTCCTTTCACAGACAACTATTGCAATGCTGCCATGGTATTGTTACATCTGCTGCTGGGGAACAAAAGCCTTTCTTTCTAGTCTTCTGTTTACCACATTTTATTGCCTTTGTCTGCCTTTGTATTTTACACAGACTAGGAACGTGTTTTTTCCCTGTTTCCATATTCTATTTTGCAAGCTTTCAGAAATATTCAGGTGTGTCCTGGGTAACAAATAACAATGAGTTAAAATATCAGTTTCAAGAAGGTGCTCTTTTAGCCTCTCATTTTTCCAAGACGGTGCTCAGTAAATTCTCCCCAAAGATAAATGCTGATACTGCCTGATCCTGTGAAGGATAAGAAAGGGCAGAGGAAAGTCCAAAAGAGGGTAGTTTCAAGATGAGCAGAATTTCACAGCCTCATTTTCAAGGCTTGGAATAGGACTCAGTATCCCTCTCTAGTCTCAGCCACATTTCAGACTCAGACTGTGAAAGCCCTTGGTGAATCACTCAGTTTATCTATGCTTTGGTTTTCTTTCTGAAAAAAAAAAGAAGTTAAAATACTTAACAGTACTTGCCAAGTGCTTCAGCATTCTGAGGGAAAAGGCACAGGGGAAATTCAAAGTGTAACTCTTTGTAGTGGACAGTATGATAATACCCAAAGTATGCCATTACACAGTATATGTAAATACAGATGTACTGTTCAGGGCAGTTACAGGAAATGTTTTTAAGCCCCAGAATAAGCTGTAGATAGTCAGGGACTTCTGTTTGTTTGTACAGAGGTACTTTAGGTCAATCATCTTCAGGCACACAGAATCAGAATGAGATGCTAGTCTGCTTCTTAACGTCTGAACAGGACTGGGTTGTGCTTTGCATCTCCTCACAGAACAACTAGAGTAACATTTTAAAATAAATTTCACCTATTAATTTGCAACAGCACATCAGAGGCTAATCCTTATCACACAGCTATCCTGTATTGCGTGCAGTGCAAGAGTCAGAGCAAGGGAGCATCTCATGATTTTCTGTGAAAAAGCTGACAGTATTGGATTGGCTGTATGAACAAGAATCAAAACTTAAAGCACTGTCTTGATGACCACTAATAGGGACCAACTAGCTCTGTCCCACTGACCCCATAACCCCATTTTTCCGCAACTTCCTTTGCTTCAGCACTAGTGGCCGTGCGATGAACAATCTGATCAACTTTGAAGATAGTGCTGCTTTGAGCAGCTCATGGGGCTATGTGATGCCCAGAGCTCCCTGCATTTTTGTAACTCATGCAATGGAAAACTAGCTACTACATTTTTGCAGCCAGTTCATTGAATTGTCAAGGTAGATCACAATTCATACAGCTATTTGACTGCCAACAACAGTGCAAGAGGAGAATACATTGGCTGGAGGATGTGTGGGTAGCAGAGCCGAGCAGAACCTCTTCAAAGGCACTGTGGTCTCAGCTTGCCTTAAGCCAATAGTGAAGCTGAAACTTGAGGTTGCAACTGTATTGTTAAGAACATAGCTAGCATGGTTTGGGGGAAAAAAGTACAGATGTCAAACCAACATGGTAACTGGAAGATGATGATCTTCCTTGTAAGAAAGGATGAGTGTTGGGGAGCAGTGGAGAACAACAACAGGGACATTTGTGTGACCTTGTAATAGTATGCCTAGAAAGCAAAACAGTCAGGCTGCTGGCCATCCTAATCTTCCTGCTGAGAAAGCAAAGTTTACCGTATGTGCTTCATGCAAATTAGATTTTTCTCAAGGCTTTTTGCTAAAGCTTCCCCTTTTAAAAAACCCTAAAGTTCCATTTTTAAATTTCTGATAAGCATCTCTGCTGTAAAGGGACAACCCCTTCCTGCCACCAAGTACAGGGTAGCGGTCTCCAAGATGTGCTGTTTACAATTAGCTTCACCCCTGTTCTTTCATCAGAAAATAGCTGTCTTGGTTAAAGGCACATGCTAACCTCAGATCAGGACCTTTCAGTAAATTCCAAACAAAAGCAATGCTCAACTTTCATAGTTAGTAGAGAACAACAGTAGAAAGTGAATATACAGTTATGTGGAGGGAAAAAACAAAAATTGCACAAATGAGTCAGTGTCGCTAATGAACACTTAGCCTTTGCAAGGATCTGACTGAAACTTGAGGAATTGTGACCCTTTAAATTCAAACACTCATATTACAGTATATGCAATGTGAAAGAGGTTCTCATTCTTACTTTGCACACTTGCAGTAATTAGCCTGGTCTGGGTGTTCAAGAATCAGCCATGTAAGACATACTGAGAAACACTACAGTAATGTACTCTGTAGATTAGACCTAGGAAGGGAAGCCCGAATTCTTTTGATTCACCCTTGTTTGTATGTTTGCAGTGACAGATAATTTACGTTCATTTTTAACAGCTGGGCCTACAAGGCTGACGCTGAACAATGCAAGTCTTCATTCTGATAACAAAAATTAAACATGACCATGTGGGCAAAACATAGGTGTGTATCTGAAAGCAGCTGTTCTTGGCCTACCTACTCCTGCTGGTCTGGTAATCTTTGGTGATGCTCGCTTTGGGGAAGATTCAGGATGTGGGGCAACAGGTTGTACTGGCCGGGTCTGTTTGGCTGCCAGCTTCTTCAGACTTACTTGCCTCTTGTCAAACATTTCTTGTACATCTTCTAGTTTTTGTAGAATTCTTTGGGCATTGGCCTAAGGAAAGAAAAGTCAAACAACAGACGGTTGTCAGTGCTGGACTGAGCAAGTTAAGAAAGGACTTCTGTAACCCAGACTCAGACTAGAGCTGAAGATCATAGTGTGCTGCAGTTAATGCAACCCAGCCCGTGCAGTCACCAAGTAAGACATGGAGACTCATGCAGTCTTCCTAGCACTCCTCTGAAGGAAATCACGTATGTGTTCCATGACTACTCATCTGAGTAAAACTGCCCCAAGTGCTCACCTCTGTGCCCTTTTGGTGTAAGGCAAGAGGCATATTTGAGCAGATTCAAATATATAGCCCAGTACACTCTCACATACAAGGCAATTTGTAATTTTGAAATTCTAAGTGACTCCACGCACATTTAAGGGGTTTTACCTTTATTTCAGAGGTGAGGATCATGTCAAACTGATTGTAGAACTCCTTCGGGTTAGAGAGCTGGTGTTCCTTAGCAGTTACCAGGAACTTCTCAATTTCAACGAGTGCAGTTTCAGCTCCCTCTTGTGACTGGCACTTGTCCACAGCTTGGGAAGCTAAGAGGTAGATTCCAGCTTCACACCACTGGCTTGCCTTTAAAGAAAAATGGGGCAAGAAGGACTCCATCATCACTGACAGTCCGTGTTGTGAAGTGTTGCTTTTGCTCCATGAAATATGGATTTGCCTTAACATGTCACTAAAGGGAACGAATGTTACTTTGCAGCACCCAACAGTTCCTGGCCTCAAGTTACTCTACCTAGATATACAGAACAACAGCAAGTTCAGCTCTCACGGGCTAGATGGTCCAGCAACATGTACAGTAATTATATTCCAAGCGAAGAGGAAAAGTGCTACTGTGGTTGCTGCAAACAAAATCCATGTGCTGTACTACCTCATTTCGGTTGTTCAGTCACACAATAATCCAGAAACCAAAATAAATATTTGAACCATATCAAAATGCTCCAAACCCTCTTAGGCCTATAAAACTCAGTTAAAAATACACAGGTTTTTACAGTAAAATTTTGGTAATTCCTGTTTCAGATGAGTCTGGAATAGCACGCAGACATTCTCAAAGCATTTAGCTTCCTATTGTAGCTAGATCAGAGGAACTGAAAACAACTGAGCAAGCAGTAAACTGTTCATTTTTAAGCACTGGAATATATTTGGTTTTCATTTCAAATTTAGGCCTAGGTCAATTTTTTCTTAGTTTTATTTCCTACTTTTCATCATTTTAAGACCATAATTACAGGAAGCTACTGCACCAATTTTTATAGTAACAGTTTCTGAATGAAATGGAGACAAAAAAAGAATAAATACTTCTTCTCTTCATCCAAATTGCCTGAGCTTACAAACCCATTAATTTTCAGTAGAACATTACCAGGGCTGTTATCTGAGAAGGTCAACTCACCTTATCTAACTGCTTATGCAGCTCAAGAGACTTTCCCAAAATGTCATACTTTTTCTTGGTCTCATTAGTAAAGTCATCACAAATACGCCTAAGTTCAACACACTTTGGTCTAATGGAGTCAACTGCATAATGGTTGTTTTGGATGAGCTGTTCTCCATGGAGAGCTAGAGACTGGGCCTTCTCCAAAGGTTCCTGTAAAATTAATGAGAAAAAAAATCCAAAATTAGATCTTAAAATGACATGCATAATAAAGTCAATTCATCTGTGTAATCCCTGCTGTAGCCTGGAGGTGAAGGTTTGGGATATTAATTTAGCTGATATATCTTACTTTATATTTTCACTGAAGACTAACTTTGTTGTCAGTGAGTATATTGAAACACAAGAGGTTCCATCTGAACATCAGGAAACATTTTTTACTGTGTGGGTGTTTTGCCAATTATCAGGCCTAGCATAAAGGACACAGCCAGCATAAAGATGAACCAATAACCAAATTGTATTTGATACAAAAGGGTCAGTACATGGGTGAGCGCTGGGGGTACAAACAAGTCAGATTATACATAATCGACATCAATCCCACTGACCCCAACAACGACACCGCACGACCAACAGTGGGGGGAATAAATGGTGAAATGCAGTCTCCTATAGAAGGGACAGGAGACAACTGAGCAACAAGCCAAATACATAAGACCAAGGAAGCCACACACTGAATCTCTACACAGCCCGTGTTTACAAAAGCCAGACCTGACTGGAGCCCAGTCCCAGGGAGGCGGGAGGTCCTTCCCCAACAGGGAACTCTGCACAGGGCATCCCCCTCACAGACAGACACTGCCCCTCCTGCAAGTGGTCCCAGCTTTTATCCCTCAGTGGGACACCTGACCTTGGGTTACTGAATGCAGACACCTGGGGCTCATTTACCCAATGGCTCTGTCTGCAAGGCCACAGCACCCTGGAGGGAAGCCTAAAGGCAAACTCACCCCCCCTTTGTGAAGGGCAGTGGGAATCACCCATATGTCAACCTTGATTAGGGGCTTGGGGTTGAAACCCCAGCATTTCAGTGGGTGACCAAGTACTGGAACAGGTTGCCCAGAGATGTTGTGGAGTCTCCCTCCTTGAAGATACTAAAAAGCTATTTAGACAACCTGCCTCCTGGGCAACCCACTCTAGGTGGCCTTGCTTGAGCAGGGATGTTGAACAAGACAACCTCCAGAGGTGTCTTCCATCCTTAATCATTCTGTGGTAACTGATTCTGTGAGCATATGCCACCTTCTTCCTCACATACTGAGGACGTTCACAAGTCATTACAAATTTTTTTCCCCTGCAAAGTTCCCAATAATCAAAAAACCCGTATTTTTTTCACTCACTAACTGCCAGGTTTATAATGCATTAGTTTATTTTTGATTCCAAGATATATTGTGGAGAATTCTTGGGATCCTACTGACTGAGTACAATTCATAAGCTTAGTCACAATGGGATGAAGCTAGAGGTGGCTAGCAGGAACAGGGCACACCTTATGTGTGATGTGGACAATGGAAGGAAAATGCATGCTACCATAACTTTTATTCTTTTAGGCTTCTGCAGAAGAACTTTGCAAATATCACAGTATTTCTAAATCTTAATTCTATTCTTAGAGATGATCATCAGCTCTTCTATTTGTTCATGTTCATTCTCCTCTGATTCAATTTACTTGATTGTTCAATGCTTTCTAATAATACTAAATGTGATGTATCTCACAGCTGACCAGCTGATGGAATTACCAGGTCCAAATGTCTGGAAAAGAAAGATGTTTATTGGAGGGCGTGGGTGTTTCTCAAACTGCTGTGAGTTTGAATAGAATGGCCTTAAAAGTTATCTGGCCAAAGTAACCTGTTAAGTATTCTGAGTTTTTCAGGTTCCAACGATGGACCTAAACTTTCCTGGTTTGAAATACAGATTTTTGAACTGGATTCTAGCTTTCCAAGTAATGCTGGAACTACTGGGTTTGAACAGCCCTCACACCTGGAAATTAGGAGCTGAGTTTTGCAATTTAAAATGACTCATGAGAAAAGAGTAAGAATGATGGAAGGACAGTGACAGGGAAGTGTCTAGATCATGTCTATAGCAGCTAGAATACCACACTGAGTGCAAACCTGTCCTTTCTCTTCCAGTTGTTTCTGTTCCCTTAGGAGGTGCTCCACTCGAGTCACGCTGTCTCCAATGTCAGCAAAACTTGCTTGTGCTTCCATGAGATTATCCAATGTCAATTTCACCTAATAAACACAACAAACATAAAACAGCAACAACAAAAGAAAAAAACCCAAACTCCCATCACAAGATACTCATAAAATTATAATAAACTATGGCTTCTAAACATTCACCTACATCTTTTAGAAGAATCTGCATCTCCAGTTTAGTCTTTCAGCTCATTCCAAAATGGAAAAGCCAAGGAATAAGGCAACAATCAACCATTCTTCAAAGAGTTGCCCTGCTTCTCACTATGTAGACCCACACGGTTGTGAAGATCTGTAACTCCAGAGCCTATATTAGTCCAGAATCTGTGTTACTTCAGCCTCTGGGCTGACAGCTGGGCTTTCTGAACTGTATTCCATTGACTCTGGTGGGATTGGAAACTTACCATCACAGAAGAAGTGATAATTAATAACATCACATGTAGATACAAAATGATTTATCAAGAAGTTGGTGTTTCACATTTTGGCCTAACAGGATGGCATTTGCCTCACTGTGCCTTATTCAAAAGTTGTAACATATCCGACAGCTGTCAATAATTTAATTTTTGAATAAATATTTCATAATGAAGGGCTTCCCTCCCAACCTCCTTTTTGGATTACCAGTATATTCTGAGCAAAGTTTGACTTTATTTACCAGAGAAAGCTAGACAGATTGAACAAATGAAATACCTCTCTAAAATCATGTTCAAAGTGTCGAAGCTGCAGGCATTGTTCTAGTTTTAAGTGATGCTTGGTCCAAAATTGATCAAAAGCCTTTTCTGTTTCATCCAACTGAGCCAACAACCTGTTAAGAAATTAGAATGAAAATAACTTACTTATTACCTATAGTTAATTTCTTTTAAGTTACAGTAATTGATGCCAGAAAGCAGAGTAGGGAAATGGTGGTGAGCCTGTGTAAGAAGCTCCATGTCAACTTTCCCTTAAATAAAAGAGAATGACATTTGCAGTGGGCCAGGCAGGAGTGTGACTGATGAGTGACAACTACATGGATCCACATGTAGTCCTGCCTCCTGACCTGCAACAGGAACACAGAGCTGTTCAATGCGCCGACAGCCAAAGGCAGCTGTCTCTCCCCAGCTTCCACCCAGTTCTTCAAAGATAATTAATCCCAGGCTAATGCAGTTTGAATATGATGCAATTATTGTTTTAAGAAATGCTTAAAGCAGAACTCTACAACTTGTTCCTTTTCTTCACCCATCAGAAATAGGTAGGGGCTGTATAATTTTTCCCAGTTCATTAAAAACAATAGATTAGGAGCTCATAGTGCCTCCCATGGACATTGTTTCACGTTGTGTAAATGATGAAACATTTATTTGCAAAGAAATTAGTATCAAGGTGTCATACAACTTGAGTAAAATGTCTGACACCAGACTAGTGAGTCATCCTCAGCATCTCTCAATGATCTATTAATTGTATTACAAAGTAGAACACCCTGAACTTAAAAATAAAAAAAAAAAAAAAGAAAGTCTTCTATGAATATCCTATATTTCAATAGATGGGCACTCTTTGGTCAGGCAGAGGACCAGGTCTGATGTTCTACAAGCCCATTGAGTGCTGGAATCATCAAATTACTGGGGCAAACACCAATAGCTCCATCCTATAGCTCTCAAAAACAAAGTTCTGTTTTCAATCTATCCCTGAAAAATGTGTTTTTAATCAAAGCTAGTTGTTGAATTCAAGATGAATTCGCAGATTCCTTTGGGATGACTGTTTAAAGGATTTTAAAGTATTCAGTGAAAAATATCAGCTCAGCTTTACTTTTGGCAGCTTTGTTCCCAGTGAATGCAGGCACACTGAAACACTAGCATGGCATTTCTCTTTCCACTGCATCACATGGCACAGCAGAAACTTCTACATGGTGACTAAAAGCTTTATGGTAATAACTAGCATTGTAGGAAGGAATAGGGATTTCTCTCTCTATGCAGATGTGAAGGGGTATGTTTCAGAGCGTCATCTTCATCTGTTCCTCCCCCAGAGTTTCCACAGACATGCACAAGCACATATCTTCTCATCTCACATGGATTCAGATGCCACTTTCTAACCAAGCATAAAAGTTTGGAGAACACATATGTAATGGGGAAAGTAAGTACTACATTAAATCTTCAGCCGGGTAGTTAGTGGTCTAACCAAAAATTACCAAGAAATTCAGGACTTGTTTGAACTTGCCTTGACAGTTTAATCAAGTAACTTCCTCAAATCTACTCCCTTCTCTGAGTTACTTGTCCAGTAAATCCTGAATAGCTGAGCCAGGGGGAATTGATAACCTGCACATTTGAATAATTTAAGTTACACTTGCATTTCTTAGGAATAAATTAGCAACTTGCACAAGGTAGTCTAGCTTCACTGACCTTTCTACTGTTGCCACGTTTTCCAGTTCATCTGGACTGAGTTTGCTGTTGGCACTTCGGGTGACTGGCTCCCTAATGCATGTCAGTAGGGTGGCCCCCTGCTTCACAGCTAGTTTCAGTTCATCCTGAGGGAAAAAAAAAAGAAGCCAAACAAATTGTATGCACTTATTCTAACAATGCTCACATCTCATAGATGGACAATGATAGAAAGAATTGATAGAATTAAATCTGATGGAATCACTTCTGGCCAGGGACATCAAGGGCAACAAAAAAGGCTTCTACAGGTACATCAGTGATAAAAGAAAGATAAGGGAAATGCGGGCCCTCTCTGGAAGGAAAAGGGAGACATGATCACCCAGGATACTGAAAAGGCTGAGGTACTCAACAACTTTTTTTGCCTCAGTTTTCACCAGCAAGGGCTCCAGCCATAACGTCCAAGACACAGAAGATAAAGGCAGGGACTGGGAGAATGAAGAACTGCCCATTGTAGGAACCCGAAGGTGCACAAATCCATGGAACCTGATGAGATGCATCCACAGGTCCCAAGGGAACTGGTGGATGAAGAGACTAAGCCACTATCCATCATATTTGAGAAGTTGTGGCAGTCTGGTGAAGTTTTCACTGACTGAAAAAGGGGAAACACAACCCCCATTTTTAAAAAGGGAAATAAAGGAGACCAGGGGAACTACAGGCCAGTCAGTCTCACCTCTGTGCCTGGTAAGATCATGGAGTGGATCCTCCTGGAAAATATGCTAGGTCACATGGAAAATGAGGAGGTGATTGGTGACAGCCAGCATGGCTTCACTGAGGGCAAATCATGCCTGACAGATTTGCTGGCCTTCTATAACAGGGTTACAGTGCTGGTGGACAAGGGGAAGGCAACTGCTGTCATCTACCCAGACTTGTGCAAAGCTTTTGTCACTGTCCCGCACAACATCCTTGTCTCTAAATTGGAGAGACGTGGGTTTGATGGATGGGTCAGAGTTCTGGACATTGGCTTGATGTCAAAGTGGAGAGCAGTGAAGAGTGGTGTTCCTCGGGGGTCAGTGCTGGGACCAGTGCTGTTCAACATCTTTGGGAATGTGGACAGTGGGATCGAGGCATCCTCAGCAAGTTCGCCGATGACACCGAGCTGTGTGGTGCAGTTGATATGTTGGAGGGAAGAGATCCATCCACCTGGACAGGCTGGAGAGGTGGGCCTGTGGAAACCTCATGGAGTTCAACAAGGCCAAGTGCAAGGTCCTGCACATGGGTCAGGGCAATCCCAAGCACAGATCCAGGCTGGGCGAAGAGTGGATTGAAAGCAGCCCAGCGGGGAAGGACTTGAGGGTGTTGGTGGATGGAAAACTGACTATGAGCCAGCAGTGTGTGCTCACAGCCCAGAAAGCCAACCGTGTCCTGGGCTGCATCAGCAGAAGTGTGGCCAGCAGGGCGAGGGAGGTGACTGTCCCCCTCTGCTATGCTCTCATGACACCCCACCAGCAGTTCTGCAGTACCTGGCCCCCAATGTAAGAAGGACACGGACCTGCTTGAGTGGGTCCAGAGGAGGCCACAAAGATGATCAGGGGGCTGGATCTGAGAAAGTTAGGATTCTTCAGCCTGGAGAAGAGAAGGCTCCACAGAGACTTTCTAGTGGCCTTCCAGTACTTAAAGGGGCTACAGGAAAGCTGGGGAGGGACTCTTGATCAGGGGGTGTTGGGATAGGATGAGGGGTAACAGTTTTAAACTGAAAGAGGGGAGATTTAGATTAGGCATAAGGAAGAAATTCTTCCCTGTGAGGGTGGTGAGGCCCTGGCACAGGTTGCCCAGAGAAGCTGTGGCTGCCCCCTCCCTGGAAGGGTTCCAGGCCAGGCTGGACGGGGCTTGGAGCAACCTGGGCTGGTGGAAAGTGTCTCTGCCCAGGGCAGGGGGGTTGGGACTGGGTGATCTTGAAGGTCCCTTCCAACCCAAACCATTCAATGATTCAATGAACATAGTAATGCTGAAAGGAGGATTCTTTCATAGGTATTAAATACTTGGAACAAAACATAAATGCTTACCAAAGACAATATGTTTATCTAGAAATGCAGAAACTAAATCTATTTTCTTTGAATAGTAGATATATTTCTGAGAAAAGGAATAGTATATAATTTCTGAGCAGACTGCATTTCTGACCAGGCAATTTACAGAATATGTTATTCTACTACAAAATGAATGTCTGCCACACATCGTTCTGTGAGCTGAGAGACTGTGCTGAGACACTGCACTTCTTAATGGCATTTCCTTAAACAACATCGTGACATGCTAAACCACAGTACATCAGCTATCAAGGAGTCATCCACAGAAGGAGGCGTCTTCCCAGCATGAAGGATGAGCAACGAAAAGGACAATGAAGCTCAAACATTAACATGCCAGCTGAGGACTCCCCACATCATTGCACACTTGCATAAAATTTGGTTTTGTGCTTATATAGCTTAAGTAGTATTTTTCCTCTTGTGTTTAACCTAAGGTGTTTGTTGACAGCAGTAACGTTTTCTTCTGAGCCTTACTGTGCAAAGCTAAACATGCCCCAACTTTTTTTTTTTTAAAAAAAACAAAATGACAGTCATCATCTAGTTCAATCATTCTGTCCATTCCAGGATTATCCTCACAGATGTTCTCCTCCATTTGCTCCCGTGTAAGTTCATCCTTTCTGATGAACCCATGCTATTCCAGATGTGATCCCATCACACCCTCTCATACAGAAGAAGTGACATTTCCCTGTCCTATCATTGCTGAAGCCGTAAAAAACCTTTTTCATAGTGGAATCAAATTGACCTCCTGAACCCAGGTTTCTCTCCTCTTCAGTACTTTCCAGACAATGGACTCCCAAATCATGGCAGAAAATTGTTAAATCAGAAATCATATATTACACTGATGGAGCTGTCGTGAGACAACATTCACCTTCAGCTTGCTATGGTGGTCAGTGTGTGCGGCGAGGAGCTCCTCTGTGCACTGCACATCGTTGGGAAGTTCAGTCTCTGCTAGGTCTGTTCCAAAGGTCTGTAGCATCTGTGCTGTTGTTTTTACTGTCATTGCAAAGTTTTCAATAGCCTGGAAAAGCAAGAGCATAAAGTCACAGACTGATTGTTTACCCTTAGCCTTTTAACAATGCTTAGTCCTTCAGGCACACTGCACTGCAAGTATAAAGCTGGCCGTGTTGCGCTTTGTTTTGGGTGGGTATGCTTAAAGTTACAAATTAAGCTCTGTGTCACAAATGATCTTTTGACAGGCCTACAAGTATTGTCATCTCCATGAACTAGCTGGGGAACTCCCAGAACTTAACAGACATAATGAAACCACAGAGGACATCAACTTCAAAGCCAGGACTGGAACTTCAGATCCTCTGCCCATGCTTGCTGTATTTAAAATTTTAATTAAGGCTTTATTTAAGTTGAGGAGACTGCAAAGCCTTTTTACATGTATGTTTATACAGTCATTGTTCATTCAGCAGCAATCTGTCTTCCTCCTGACTTCTCAAAATGTGCATCTCTATCCTGCCTATCTGTACTAGATGCATTCCAGTCACTCTCTCCCATCTGTTAGTTACACAAATACAGAAACTTACTGCAAATAGAGTTAAAATGCATAAATTCATTGGAGCATTGCTATTTCTTTATCACTTGGGTGCTCCAGCACAAAACTTGTTAGAAATCTGTGGTTTCACTGAAGAAAGGGGAAGCGAGGAAGGCTTAAGAACAATGCTGCCTTTTCAGAGTAGAATATATTGTTCAGACTTGTGAGATGGGATTAAAACCTTTATATCTAGTAGCAAGTAAATGCATGGGATGTTTTTTCATGATCATGCCCCAATTTCTTTAGAGACTGTGTTGTCCTGTATACCTCTATTTGTCACACTTTTTGATCTAATGCACCCAACAGTTTGAGTCAGTCAACAGCACTAGGGATGCTCTCACACCCAGTCCAACACTACATAGTTGTTGTGAGTTGCATTCCCTTCTCCAGCAATGATGGGAATTCCTCATTTGCAACCATGACTGTTAAAATTATACTGTGTGCTCAGTGCAAAATAAACTAGAGGTTGATCATCATTCAAAAGGTGCAGGGAGAAATTACAGTCCACATACGCGATCTGAAACACACCCCAGATGAGGCAATGCTAGCAGGAGTTCATAGCCACCTTCCTTTTTTACCATAAATTCATGCCTGCTTTCAACATAAGTAGTACAGACCCACATATGCTCTGGCTTAGTGCTTAGCAGCTGTAGCCTGCTGCTCTCAGCACCGAAGCTACTGGATTAAAGTTGGATGAAATATCACACTTCTGACTGCAATACAGATAGAGCCATTCATAACCAAAGGCCTTTTATTAAAAGCCAAAAATTTACTCTGTGGGCAAGAAAGCTCATAGGCTCCTAGCCATTCAAATCAAGAAAGCAGAAACAAAGAACAACACTGCGAGATTGTTGTGTCACTACCATTTATCAACAGTTTAAAGCTGTTTCAGAAAAAAGCACTGGTGGGACAAGACAGGAGAACATTAAGAGAAGCAGCAAAGGGGATGAAGACTGTAGCTCAGCAAGACTGAAAGTCAGGTTGTTTCAAGTTGCCATGGAGGCTGACACTTCCCTCTTATCCAGCAGAGATTCCTTGGCTGTCACCCTTTCTGGGCACCATAATCGTTTATATTGAAGCAGCCACTAAAATGCATTAATCAGCCCCAAAAGAAACAAAAAATCAAACCTGTAACAAGTGTCCTTAGAAGCAACAGAAAAAGTCCCAGCTGGAGTGCATGTTTACATGGCACAGAAATGAAAACAAAGGAAAATAAAATCAAGTGTCTCGAGGATTTTTTTTTCTCTTAAAAACATGGAGATAGTTAATCACTAAAGCGAGAATTTTGACCTCTGATTCAGTAAAGTGCCAACATGTATGTTCAGCTTCAACCACGAGCTGAAGGTCTGTGAATCTCATCAATTATTCAAAAGCTAAGAATGTGCCAAAGGGTCTTGCTGAGTAGAACTCCTATGACGCTGTTAGGTTCTAGTCCAGGTCATCAGGGAGATACAAATTACTAGTTCTATTGTGAACTTTTGGGGAATTTACTTTTCTCTATTTGAGCCATGGCTTTCCTCTCTCCATGAGTCCCTAGCACAATCCATAGGCGGAAATGGGACGGAAACGTTACTACTTGATGGTTGCTCTATATTTGTCATCTGGACAATTCTGGGTGTAGACATGTGGAAGAACACCACCAGTACTCACAGTTCGGTGATGTATCCACTGACTGTGGCCATACTCCAGGGTTCCTCCCAGCTCCCGGGTCAGCTGACTTTTGTCAATATAGCCATGCAGATCAGACACAGAATTTAACATGATGATCTGAAATAAATCCAAACACAATGGACTGAGAGAAATAACAAGCCCTTTCAATCATTGTTCCTACTATCTGGGTTTGCCTGAAACGTATATGACCAAACTGCCGTTCCACCATAGGCAGTGAGTTCTCATTATGTATTTGTTCATGCAATGGCCACAGTTTATTTCCAATAGATTTTGCCTTCTCAACATGTACATTCTTGAACTAACCATAATTTGACATCATCTTGCTCCCTGCTAGGCTGCATGTGCATCAAGAGCAAAAATATGGTATTTTATATGTTCACACAAACTTCCATCAAATCATTTATGTATTTTTTTAGATAACTGTTATTTAATGAGAAATGGAGAAGGGGGCAGGATAAGCAGCTCCCTCAACACCAACCACTTGATCCAGGAAAGTGCTGAAATGAGATCACTGAGAATAAGATTTTCCTTTCAGTTGTATCATTTTTATGGCATTGTGTGTCCACTGAGTTTGCTGGCATTATTTCATTTTAAACCATGATGAGAGAAAGGAGAGAGAAACCTAAATTCATTTTCTTACTTTAAAGAATCTCCTTACCACTAGATGTACTTAATGAAAGCAAAAGCAGAGTTGCATTCAGCTTTGGGTAAATGGTATTACCTTTTGGTGATCACTGTAAATCTGGCAACACACGTGCCTATACAAATAGCATACATGTATTTTATTATGTCTTGTTGTTCTAACAGCAAGAAAATACTCCATGATTTCAGCAACAGAAAAAAAAAGATGTTGAGCACAAATGACTGAAATATTAAGCCTTAGACTTTAATATATGTCAAATGTATTCTTTCACTCTGCTGTTTAAAGAAAGGATAACTGGCTATGCCTGCTAGCAGGCTCCGGGGGAGCACGGTAAGTACACTTGGAAGCACTGTGGACAATGAGATGAGCACAGATGTGTGGAAGCAAGAGGATGTATATTCTAGGCTGGTAGTGCTCTAAGAAGAGCCTTGAGAATTAATCTGAAAAGGGTTTTAGCTGATCTTTGTTACAGAATCACTCTAGAATAATTCAGGTTGGCAGGAACCTCAGGTCTGTAGTCCAACTTCTTTCTCAAAGCTGGGTCAGCTGTGAGATCAAACCAGGTTGCTCAGGGCTTTATCCACTCAGGTCTTAAAAACCTCCAGAGACTGAGACTGTACAACCTCTTTGGGCAGTCTGGTCCACTGCCTGATTATCTCTTTGGTGGAAAAGTTTTTCCTTATATCAAGTCAGAAGTGCCCTTATTTCACTTTATATCAGTTATCTCTTGTCCTACTGACAGTGCACCCTGTTGCCTCTTCAAGATCCTTGATAAAGATGTTAAACAGGGCAGGTCCCAGCAAACATCACTGCACCACTCTACTTGTCACCCACCTCCAGGTAGAGTATGACCCATTAACTATTACCCTCTGAGCCCAATCACACAACTAGTTTTTTATCCATCTAGTTGTCCATGCATCCAGACTTCAACATCCTAACCTGGATACAAGAACACTGTGGGAGATGCATCTGGGTCTCATGGACCTGTATGGGTTGAACATTCTCAAGTAGTCCCTGACTCAATTCTTTTTCACCTCCAGCAGCTCATCTTCTCCTTGAACCCTGCTCCTAACCACAAAGGCCAGGAGACCTTGTTGGTGAAGAAACTGAGGCAAAGAAAACACAGAATAGCTCAGCCAAAGCTAAAGGGCAAACTATTTCCTGGATATGTTACCAAATGTTGTTTCATTATGATCAAAGCCAGAAAACTCAAAAAACTACAGACTAGTCTCAGAGATGTTGACAAGTTGGAAATCTTTTGATACTCCAAACTTGACTGAAACTACAGAGGAACACTGTCATGCACTTTTCTTTTAGGAAGATGTTTGCTTTAACCTGATATGCTCAGCATGAGTCAAAAGCAAATCTATTAATATTGCCAGCTATGGTGCTACCCAACAGAGCACAAGTCTTCACCCTGCAGGCATCTCTGCAGGAGAAAGCCTAGGAGCAATCCAACATCCATCTAAGAAACCAGTCTTACAGAGCATTAGCATCTCCCATACTTCTAGCTCAACTGAAGACAGCCACATTCACTAAGCTGGAGGAGACAAGAGAGTAGCAGGTTAGAAGAGGAGGGTCTGCATAAGCAGGTCAACATGGAACACAGAGCTGCTGTGGGGTCTCTGCATGATGGGTTAGGCCACCTGAAAGAAATCACAGTCTACAAAGGTCAAAGAAGTGGCTACTATAGGCAGATTATTCAGCCTATTGTGTACGCTTTGAAGATGCCCTTTTTTGCCAGATTTTCTCTCAGATGAACCCTGGTGTATCTCCTATATTTCTGTATTCTGCTCATGGGTAATGATATCTAATCAAATCACTATTGCAATAGAGATTAACCTCAGGAAATTTAATTAACCACATTTGTATGTCAGTAAGATATAAATCCTGCATTTCCTTATTGTGTCTGGTTTATTATTTCAGCCTTTATTTCCTGCTCCTGTTTGATCTTCTGGCTTCTACTCAATCCAGTGTTGATTTAACCCAGCAAATCTATTTTACTGAACACTTTTGCAGTCTGATAGCTCAGATAAACTCTTTAACAAATGTTTCCTTAACAAATGCACACCATATTCTTGAAGCCCCTTTTGAATGCTCATATCCTGGCCCTAACTCACTTCTCATTGTGATAGTAAACGCAACCCATCCACGGCCCGGGTATGACATTAATAAGTACCAAATGCATAACATGAAAAAACAGCCTGCAAACAATTTAAAAGGTAATGGTGGTATTAAAGATAGGTACTAATACCCAATTCCTTGAGTAACTGTATCACCCATGGGACAAAAACTCTCTGGCCCTGTTCTCATGCTTGGCATGTAGGATCCTATTTTCAAAGGGGACAAATAGATGTTCTCTCAGTAACTTACCTGTTCTGAAAGTGGGGTACACAGGGGAATGCACAGGTGGTCTTTTTAGGATGGGATGCAAACATAGCTGAAAGACCCCTCCAGAGAGCATGGCAGGCCCCAGGAATACAGGACACCTTTAGCACAACCCTAAGCAACTTGTAATAACATCACGCACATGTGGACAGCCTGCATATAAATGTGACAGGCTGTCTAGGTAGGAGGCAGGCAGATCTAGCCGCAAGCATATCATGCTCTTAGTTTTTGTAAGACTGCTCGCTAAGACATACCCAAGATGGCTCAAAATCTGAATGTCCAAGACAACACCAAACTAAACTCATATCTTGATTTTCCTGTCCGTAAGAAAGATAAGTTACTATTTAATACTTAATGTGGTGTTTGACCCCTGTCTAGAATTAACCTCCCTTCCAACTTCGAAAGTTTCAAGTTGGATTTGAAATGCAACACTGTCGTCAAATAAATTGCTTAAAGTATAGAAGATGTTGAATTGTTAGAAAATGTTAGTCCTTGATGAAGTTGTCCCTATTCTGGGCTGCAGTCACTGGTACAAGAGTTGTCATGGTAACAGATTGTGGTTTATTAAATACAAGAACATTCATTTTTTAAGGTACTATAAAATGGAAAGATTTTGTTTTGTAATCAAGCATACATCTTTTACATCAATTTTGCATTTTAATTACCAAAAAGCCACCTTTGCCAAACTACAGTCAACATTGCAATTTAATCCACAATAACCAAATGAATATTCATGGTTCTTTTTTCTGTATGCATTGTAATAAATGGGCTACTGTATCTTACTTCAGAAGAAGCATAAAGTGTCTTAAGCACCTGAACTTCAAACTTAGGTATTGACAGAGCTAGGATTTGTTGGAGGAGAGCCATGGGTCTTTTGCAAAACAATATAAATCCACAAGCAAAATCCAAAACAATTATATGAAATCAGTAATGTCACCGTGGAACACAGTATGAGTCTAGTCCAGGATGAAGTACCATCAATAATCATAATTCAGGTTTATTTATAAAACACTTTGAAACCACATGCAAACATGCAGCTAGGAACAACTCCCAGAAGAGCTCTCATAGAATAATCTAAAATTTAAACTGTTTCAGGATTGATAATCTTCTTCAAATTACATTCTCATCAACCTACAGCATATGACAGGAGCATATAAAAAGAGGTAAAAACCAAATTTTCTCATCTTGAGGGCATGGGGATCATAGAAGGCATTAAGAATAGGCAATGCTATACAAGCACTCAACAGAGGCACTGTCAGTAGTCCCATGATTAATTCATAAAATAGTGCAGAATTCAGCCCTAGCCTTCCACTGCTCTGTAGTCCTAAAGACTTATGTTTGTCATTGGACCGAGAAGATCTACCTCTGTGTACATCAGGGGAACGGCTCCACTGAGTTAAGATGTCAATACTTAAAAATCAAGTCACATTTTATAACTAGACTGACCTTCCACATGGGAACATGTCCATTAAATACTGTGAAGCATCCACTGGTAATTAACTCTTTGGCACTACTATTATATACACCATACAGACCCAGATAAAAATCCACAGTTGCCACTCGCAATCAAATTTCAGTTACTGGGTTATGGGAAATTGCTGATACCTAAGAACTACAGAGATGAAGGTAAAGAAAACACATGGACCAAAAAAAATGCATGCTTACCGGTACCTTCATTTTAAAGTCATCGCGATAGAGTTTAATGCCAATGTCAGCGATTGTCCTTTGGATAAAGCGTGAGGGTCGCAGGACAAACACCAGCTGCAGGTTTCCTGGAAATGCTCCCTGCAAGAAATATAGAACTATTAGAAAGCACAATTCTGCCTTACAGGAAGGCCAAGGGAATTTTCAGCCAAGTGTTTCCTAAAGAGGGCAAAGCAAGTAGGGCTTACGGAACCTTGCTTAGTCCAGCTGCTAGTATCAGCCGGTCCATTCAGCACATGCTCATTGTCAGTCTTCAAAGCCAATAGAAAGACTGGTCCATGGATTTTACTGCCCAGCCGTACATTGTTTTCTGATATGGATTTAGCACAGAGCTCTGAAGGTTCTGCACTGGTGCCTCCTTCCCCCATACCTGAACCACACCAATCCCCCTTTGCACTACCACACCGCAGGTTTTCCCATTTTTCTAGGCTGCAGCCACTAGAGGGCAAAACTGGCCACCCACGTTGGACTTGATGAAAGAATCTGGTGGCACAGATGAATTCCCTAGGCTGACCTACCTTCCCACTCTGGAAAGGGTTTTTAATCTTTTTAACCTCACATACTTTTCCCACACACAGGCACTCAACACATTCATCAGACATGGCCCTGTCTGCAACACCCAGCCTACATCTCTCACGCACTCCTGAGCTCATCAAGCATAAAAAAGAAAAATTTCTACAAGAAAGCAGCTAAAAAGAACTGAGAATGAAAAGCATTTCTGTCTAAATTCCTTGAAAGAGTTCAAAGTCACCTTGGTCATCCCTCCATCCTAAACCTCTGTGTATAAGCTCTCAATCCTCACACAGCACATGTTCCTGATAAAATGTATAAAACCAGGTGTTTTTATTGACTGAAAATCAGTGCTTAGCTCTGACTTTTGCAAATGAGATAGAATAAGGTATTAAGAGTTTCTGACAGAGATCACTTGCTACCCCGCAAACACAAGTCCCTTGGGATCTGTTTCTTTCATAAGCAGGCCACGTCATCACTCCTCAGCGCGCAGACGGGTACCTCTGTTATACTCTTCTAGGAATCAACCTCAAATTATTAGAATTTATACCGCAGTCAACACAGCAAATAAGGAATTTGTCCTAATTCAGCAGTAAACAAGGCTGTGTAATTTGTTACTGCAGCCTCCTCCCTCTCTTATTTAACACTCATGAGCTTCAGGGCAGAGGAGAATCTGCATCCACAGTCAGAAAATGGGAGCAAAAAATGAGCACACAAGACTGTATCCTGTGCTGAAGGTTCACAGTAGATAATTTTAATTTATAGAAGATAAATAACAAAAGCAATCACTTACTGCTATCCGTGTCAGGGATGCCTTGACTGCGCTCCATTTGTCCCGTCGTCTGTCTATGATGATGATGAATCCAATGCTGGCAGCCTCCAGACTGCAAAATAGATTAAATAAGTATGCTGGGTTACATGGAGATACTCCCGTTCCAAGAAAGTGTACTGCAGCAAAACACAGCCTTCGTCAGATCCCCCTCTAAGCCCATTATGAAAATGCAACGTACAGTGGAAAGAATGAATATTTGGCAGAAATTCACATGAAAATGAAAGCCGGCAAATTTTCTCTTTCCAGCGTAAGGCTAGCAGCTTACACAAAACATGAATATTTTATCTGCTAAATCTCTCAGCTGCTATGCTACTCTGCTGCTAAATCTAGGTGATATGAATAGTTCAGGATCACGAATCACACTGCTGTATTGAAGACATAAACTTCAGATCTTGTTTTCTTTGCAAAATAATTCAAGTTATTAGACACCCCACTTCATTCTCCAGATATGCTCACGTCTGACAGGGGCACTTAGCTCCACGGAGTCAGTATCCCACTACTGTCACCTCCTTGCCTGTGTACACTATGCCCCAGGAATCCTAGTAGGCAAAGCGGGAATTGAAGAGTTATATCTTGCCAACACAAACTGGTTCTAGAGTTACAAGTCATTCAGAAGTATCCTTTTAACATGTTGCCTAGAATAACAGTTATTGTTCCTTCTCAGTACTTTTCAAGGAGGATCTAGAAGGCATTGATTTGATGCTCCGTCCCATCTATGTAGATCTCATAAATATCCCATCCTCTTTCTCTCTCCCAAAAATCTCACTTTGATGTGCAGGGCTTCAATGGGACTGCTCTACTCTCTGCCTTTCAAGAGTGCTTGGAGTTGGAGAGGAGTCCTTGGAAGCTAATAAACACACACTGGGAAAAATCTCCAGAAACTTAATTCTAGCATTCAGTCATCTCAGAACAAACCAGAGGCAGGAAGAAAGCGTATAAATGTCATAATCAAAGGACATACTGCAATCAAACATCTAATCACAGATTAAGATCAAAATAAACTGTATAAAACATTTCCTTGATTCCTTTTCCACTGTCCATACAAGAAGCAACCCAGCAACACCATTTTGATGGGTTGTTTTGTGCAAACTTGTGTCAATAATCCACCAAAGAGCACCGACATTAGCAACTCTGAGCTTCTGCTGCAGCTCTGCAGGATCGAGAACAACAATCTGAAAGCCAAAGTGTCGTGCAAATCTGTGATGCCATGCAAGTGTTCCTAATAGTTCACACTGGTAATAGGAAAACTCACTGAATTTCCCACTTCAGTATTTTTTACAGCATTCCTCTGGCAATTACAAAATTCAGTGGCAATAGATGATCTTTCCTCTTAAATAGGACAATACGCAGCTCTCTATGCAGAGGACAGAACATGTGTTTGCAGCAGTGCCTCTCAAGCGCAGGGAAGATAATTCATCAGTTTCTCTTTTTATATGTATATACAAATATATGCATATCCTTCAATAGCCCAACAAATGTTTCACGGAAAAAAATGACCAGCATGGTATCTATGTGTTTGCTCTAGATGTTAGGGAAAAAAGTTTCAAACAAAGGCAACACAGAAATTCTGCGTATTGCAGATGGTTACAGAAAGGGTGTGAGAAACTAAACACAAAAAACTCAGCCTGGAGGCTTCCTAAACTACCCAAAAATCTGCATTGGTTCTATCAAACTGCTTCTGCTGATTGGGACCAAAAAATTGCTTTGGAAGTCTGGTAGACATGAAAGGCCTGGGGCAAGCCAGACCACCAGGTAGTTAGTATCTCTGAGGACAGGATCATATTCATTAATATATGAAAACTCTCCTACGTAGTACCTCCCAGTTTAGACTGACCCAGAATAAAGTTTTTAAACATTTGATACTGATAATACTAACAGTTGTTACAATCCAGTGCTCCCAAAAACAGTCCCAGCACCCTCGCTGGCCTCTTGTTAAAGCACAGACTCGGGCATGCTCTGGCCCCATACAGGTGGAGGTTAGCTCTTCTGTTCACAGTTCTTCAAATGACCAGAGAAATGAGTAATCACAAGATGAAGGTCCCACTTAGGTTTCTTTGCTCTTGAAGGGAACAGGATTTGATCCAAATATCTGGTTAACCAGAACGAATACAAAAAATGCTTGTCGTGACTAGTTATTCCAAGAGAACAATGTCACAATTCAACGTCCATCTTGCTTACAGTGTGTTACTGAAACTGGTTCATTCTTTAGAACAAAGTTATTAGTAAAATAGTGAGATATGAAGAGGGAATTAAGTCAATGCAATTCTCCTTTCAACAGTTACATGTGTGGATGACCTTGGAGGGCTGTCTCTTTAATATGCTTTATATATTTTTGACAGCCATGTTAGTTTTTGAGAACCACGTTAAAGCAGCAGAAAAATGACAATGTAAAGGGACATAATTTGAATCAAACGGATCACCAAAATATGGACTCTACACCAAGGAAACAGAGAATATATATTGGAATCAGCATCTAATGATGTTTTCAGCTCAGACTCACACAACCAATCTGTAGCTGCTGAATATCTCTCACACAATAATTGGACACGTAGAACCAAGTTCAAATCTGATGTAGTTCCATTGAAATCAGTAATTTATAACAAAATGACCAACAAAGGTGTGTTAGCCGAAGTTAACAAAATGGTGATGTTGGTCTTAAGAAATATATCATTCAACTAATAGCAGGTTAATAAAAATGAGAAAAATCTGTTTTTCACAAAATTTATGATGTAGCTAAACCACAAGTGACTATATCCATAAGCACCATATTCATACATGCTGACTGCACACAGAAATCACCTTGTTTTGCCCATCTACCTGGTCTGAGAGAGTGATTAAAGGCTTTCTAATATGAGTGTATATGGAGGATTGGAGGCCCAAAAGAATTCAGAATCAGACCCTTATAATCACATCATGGTGAGCAACTAACTGACAAGACAGCAGCTGCCAAAAGCAACAAGTACAGCTGTGATTCAAACAAACGCAAAAGTATTTGTTCCAAGTAAAACTTGCCTCTATGCCTCAGAACTAACTCTTCAGTCCCATTTTAAAAGTCCCTCAAACATGTAGACCACCAGTCACTTAAAAAGGGACCTTTGCTGTTTTTTTTCAAGTATGTGTCCATGATCGAGCAGTCCATTTTTTCAGATGTTCTTCTGCATGAGGATTTGTAACAGCACAAAAGCATCCAGGCATCAGATGCAACAAGAAAAATTAATTTCATAGATAACAGGAACAAGAACTTATAAAATACAGATAGAGACATGAAAATGCAAGAGAGAAGTAACAAAGGAATTTTCTTATGAAATTAGTCTTGGCAAGAGCGGTCACGGGGTTGGGGAGAGCTGGGAATAGCGGATATATGGGAATAGGAACATTGCTTATCAGTTTGCACTGCAAATCACAGTGTTGCAGGCCAGTTAGGACAGACTGAGGAAATGAAAGATGAAATAGATACTTACATAATGACTTGGGTTTAAATATGGGAAAAGAGCAAAGAAGAGCAAAATACCACTGAATGTGCAGCGTCGCTATGGTGGGGCACTACTCGTAGCTCTCTTTCCCTCCAAGACCGAGTGTAGTACCTTCAGCTAGCTGGCAAAGACAAAACCTGCCAACCAGTCATGCCTGGTACATGGGGCTGTGGGGGAAGGCACAGGCTAGAACACTTTATTACACAAAGAGTGCAGGTACAGTCCTAGCTGCGGAGGAGTATGAAGAACAAGCCAAGGCATGAGATCTGAGAAAGGTTTGTCAGGGTAAAATGAGAATCAGGCCATTAATCAAACAATTCAGGTACCTATTGCAGTGTATATCAATTACAACATTGAACTTACCATGCTGTCTGAGAAGAAATGTGTAAAAAAATGGAGAATAGACTTAAAAATTACATGATATGAAGGAGGAAAAGAGTGGGGAGAGAATCTGAGAAAACCACATGTTGCTAAAAAGCAAAGTAGCTGAACAGAGCACGGAAGAAAATGTGGGAGACTGTCTACATCACTGAAAATCTGGCAGACTATGCAAAGGCAAGCAGCAAAGAAACCATACAGAGATACCTCTGTAAATCTTGGCTGCCATAGGTTGATAGATGCAACATGACAAGGGTCTAGACAAAAGAGGTACCTTTGGACCCAGAAAACTCAAAATGGGCCTGTAAACCTAATACAAAGCTAGACCACAGACTTCTGCAATGTTATTCCCTGCTTTTCACCTTGATGTTCAGGATAGTATCAATTGTCTTCACTGAGATAAGCCAATATTATTTGTATGTTTGGTGGGTTTTTTTACTAGATAGGGCTGATTTAAGCCCTAAATTTAGCCAGGGAACAAGAGATAGTGTCAGCAAGCGATCTTATTTCAGTCAGTATGCTGAAAGGAAAGGCCATACCAAGGTCTGAATGTCATTTGGCATTAAGGGATGCATGCAGGCTAAGAGCTGTGGGAAGAAGCCTAGCCGAGATGGCAGCACTGGCACAAGTGAATGTACAGCTGAGAAACCCCACTCGTGTGGGTATCCGGAGGAAGGGAGTTTAAAAACAAACACACACTCTATCAATGTTTTCTCAGTGTCAGTACTGTAGTATCTCTACCCTAATTGTGGAGATGCATTGAGGTTTCTCCAGTTCTCTGAAAAGAAAGATTTGAAGACAATCCTGCACAGCAGATAAACATTAAGCTTACCTCCAAATTAAATTCTGGCATATTTGGCTAGACCTACAGATGTCTGGCAGAGAGGGTTCCTTTCCCTGAATGAAGTGTGTGCAAGCAGCAGAGCTGTTCCATCCTCAGCTCTGAATTCAGGTAGCCCCTGAACATTGGTTTAAGGAGGCCAGCAGATGTCAAATTTCCCAGCCTCCTCTGGAAAAAGGGCACCTGTTTATCAAAGGCTCTGCTGTACCCTATCAGGTCCACTATTTAGGCAACATTAAGACTGCACTTCATTTAATTATGTCATAAATCACACAACCAAACCTCGCTGCTCAGGTTCCTCCTCTTCTAAATTAATACCTTTGTCCCTCACATAAAAGGTGTCAAGTTTCAAATAGCGACTCAAGAAATATGGTCAATCTTTCTAAAAGCACTGCAACAAAGACTAGCAAGCTCCCTGGAAAACTCACATCCCTACAGTGTGATCTGTGATTGAACCTAAGAGTCAAACTAATGTGTTGGTATGCAGAAAATGTAGTTTCAAACCCCAGCCTGTCGCTGACCTCAAACAGGTCATTCAAATCAAACCGAATGGTCACTTACTCAACCCAAGTTTTGGAGAGCCTGTCTATAGTGTAAAATATTACTTACACATACCTCATCATCTGTAAAATAAGCCTATTGCAGGTCTCCTGCCTTACAAAGTTTTGAAACTTAGTTCATCGTTCTTTACACATTGTTCTGGGATTCCTCAGGGAAAACACAAAACTGATAAAGCAAATCAAAGCAAAGGTCCACCTAGGCCAGTCCCTGCTTCCAGTGTTGGTAGGTAATGGATACTGGGGCAAAAGCAGAAGTGAGAAGGACAATCTTTCTCTCGGTATATTCTCCCAAGTTCCAACATTAAGGAATATATGGATTTCTTCAGTGTTTGCGTCTGAGCCATTGTGTTCAGCTGCCATTCATTGATGAAGCTATCCTTCATAAATTTGGCTAATTGCTTTTGAACCCATCTGTATTTTTGGCTTTCATGCAGACTGAAGAAGCATAAAGCATTTCCGTCTATTTTGTTGAAAATGTAACGTGCTAATTCCCCAACATGTGACAACATCACTGGGAATCACCACCAGCATACCAAATACAAAGAACTGGAAAACTAGGTTTGTGTTTTTCTCAGCTACTTGCTGTTTTATTAACCCTGAAGCTGGTCATCCTCTCAGTCCTGAAGCTAATGAAGAAATAGGTAAGACAGAGTTTCTCCTGGCAGAATAAAAGCCCTACAGAGCAGAGTGAAACAATGAAACTGTTAAGTTCACGGCTTGTGGTTTTTCTCAGCTTGCTTTGGCAACTCAGTATGGGGAATACATGTAGATGGAGCTGGAAAACTTCTTACTCAGACTCGAAGGAGGCATGTTTTCCCCTCATCCTCCTCTAAGCACCTTTATACACCAGACCACAGGAAATAATAAATCCCTGCTGTGCTTCTAGCTAGCACAAACAGCCATGGTCCAGGGACAGGATCAGGGGACTGAAAAAAATATTAACCTCTCTTTCTGGATAAACAAAAAGTAATTCAGCAGCCATGTCTCAGCGCATTTCCTCAGAGTAGTGGAAGTGAGTTTGTTTCACTGTCCTTGCCCAGCTGCAGGCAAACAGCAAGGAAAACATCCTAGCTGAGAAACAATCTCCCAGTAAACGAAGCATCAGAAAGCACAAGGTGCTTGCCAGAATCCTGTCAACAGGGCACCTAGCTTGCTCCCTTAGAAAAGAGAAAGCTTGTACAGAAAGATGTACTCGGAGAACAATCAGTAAGGGGACCTATGTACATTTGGCTCTTTCCAGATGCAGCCCTTCCCTTATTATGTCCAGTACCCCCGAGAGTTATCACAAATGGTTTCTCTTAGCTCCCTTTTGATCTGCTATCTTTACTGCTGCTCTTCAGGTCTATACCCCCTCCCACCCAGTTCAAGCCCTGAACAGAAAACCTGTCCTGTGTTTAATTATGTAAGGGCTTCCCAGGGCCTCCTGCACACAGGGAAGTTTCATACTGATAGGATGGATGCAGAGTCACTGGTACATCCTGGTAGCGCCACTAAAAGCAGTGAGCCACTAAGGAAGCAAAGCTCTCTAGGAAATCAACAGACGTTTATGCTTAGCCTCACCTGGGAATGCTGGTTAGATATGTGACCACATTCAGAAAATCTTCATCAGGTATGTCACTGAATCCTGCAAATTCGGGGAATGTTATAATGGGTGCCCCATCCTTCCCTCTTCCTCCTGCAAAAGAGAGGTTGTAAATCTTAGAGGGTGATTCTGTGCCTGTGGACAGACTGGTCAGCACTCAAGCGGGAAACACGGGCATATCCCTCATTGAAAAGCACCCAGATGCAGTATATGTGATCAGCTTCCCTGTGATATTATAACTTACTGTAGTTTCATTACCTCCGTTTACTCCAGACTGTTTATTTTAGTCTCTGTTGTTTATTCTCAGCTTTTTCATGAACCTTGTGCATAATTTTGATTAAGCGCTTTCTTCAGTTGTTTCCCATTTTCAAATAATTTCTTGTGATAATATTACAATATTTCCCTATGTATAGGTACAGCACTCTCTGATTCCTTCTAGACATTAAAGGAAATGAAGTAATGAACCATACAAACTTTGAATACACACATATAACCCATGACACAGGCCTGGGACCAATCCAGCATAGGTCTTTCCTTAACAAAAAACCACTCAAAGTGCATGGAGTATTTAATCAATTAGTTTTGCTCTTGTCTTGTTTATTTATATCAAACCTCCATTAAATAGGACAGGAAGATCATAAGCAGCAAGATCAAGAAGAGTCCCTCTCTGAGGGACTCCCTGATCCAAACAGCAGTGCTGAAACTCTGGTAGAGCTCCAGGAAGCATGGAGCTGAGTCCCTTATAGCCGAGAAGTCAGTTCTCCTGACCGAATGCCCAGCTATAGGAGATGCTGTAGTGCACAGCACAAACCCTGTTGACTTGCAGAACCAGTCCCAAATTGGTTCTGTTTACTGGGTTAGTGTGGCAGGGGGCTACGGCGGTGGGCCCCTGTGAGAGGCTTCTTGAAGCTCCCCCAGCTCCAAGTGGGACTTGCCTCTGGCCAATGCCGAGCCAATTAATGATAGTGGCTGAGTCTCTGATAACGTATTTAAGAAGGTGAACCTGGGAGGAGGAGTTGGAGTTGCGAGGAGGACACCTATGCAAGCACGAGGAGGAGGAGGGAGGTGTGCCGGAGCAGAGACTCCCCTGCAGCCCATGGTGAGAGGCCAGGCTGTGCCCTACACCCATGCAGCTTGGGGAGAACCCCATGCCAGAGCAGGTGCCTGCACCCAAAGGCAGGCAGGGCTGTGGGAAGAAGCCCCCACTGTTGTAGTTTGGCACTGGGAGGACTACAACATATGAGAAGGACCCATGCCAGAGCAGCTAAGGAAACACCGTGGCCTGTGGGAAGGACTGATGTCAGAGAAAGTTCATGGAGGTCTGTCTCTGGTGAGAGGGACCCCACGCTGGGGCAAGGGCAGAAGTGGAGGAGTTCTCCCACCCTCCCCGAGGAGGAAGAAGCAGTGGGACTGACCACAACCCCCATCCCTTGCCCACTGTGCCACTGGGGGGGAGGAGGTAGAAAAATCAGGAACAAAGCTGAGCCCAGGAAGAAGGAAGGGGTGGGGGAAGGTGTTTTTAAGATGTGGCAATGCTTCTCACTGTCCCACTCTGTCTATTTAATGGTGGTGTTGCTAGTGTTTGAATTAAACTGAAGTTCTTTTTCTTCCCTTAACAAATTTGTATTTTGACCGTGACCATCATGGGTGAGTCATCCCTCCCTGCCTTCATCTCTATTCCCAGGACTTTTGCTTTATTTTCTCCTTCCCATTCCTGAGGGGGAAGGGATGAGTGAGCAGCTGCATGGTCAAACCATGACATTCTGCTAATAAATCTGGACATCACTCGATCCACACAGAAGTTAACAGTTTTCTCACCAGCTTGGACTCAGAGCCAAGAGCAGACTAATGATGCAATAGGAAATAAAGGAATATGATGAAACAAAGCTTTTGTCGCAGGTACCTTATTGCTTAGTGCTGCTCAGATAGGGCATTAAGGACATGCTTTTCCCTGAGTCTTTCTCCTTTCTCTGCACTCTCTACGTAAGCCTATTTTTTGCATCAGGCTGAGGAATTATCTACCAACTCAATACTGGGCCTAGTCCTGCAGCACACACAGTATTTATAGTCATTTATCACCTGCAGAAGATTCTTGTTCAAGGAATAGCCATGCCCTGGGTTTCCCCTTAGTGGAGGGGAAGCTGTGAGAGGGAGACAGAAAATTACCTTCCTCAAGGAAGATATTCAATAAATTATCCCGTTAGGAGTATGGAAGGAAACAAAGACAAGGCGGGGGAACCAAAAGGAGAAGAGTTCTTCCTCAAAAGTATCCTCTAAATTCCCATAACTAGACCCTGTTTCCAGGCTGTTCCTACAGACCATTGCCTTTCCCTGCTGATAACCACAGCTGACGCCACAAACCAGTTGCTCCTGCTCCTGTTTTGGTGGTCACTGCAAAGAGGTGCTCCAGCAATTCCCAGCTATTTCTGTGTAGAGAGCTCAGTGCCTTGCTAGTCCTGATCCTGCCTCTGCCCAGCCCTCCCAAACTCAGTTGGATTACTGAAGGTCTCTTTCCTGCTGCCCAGCCACGGAGAGCTGGAATGCTGAGGAACGCAATGTTTGCGTAAAGTAGAAGTCAGAGCTCTAGAAAACAGACATTTTGAACAAGGCAACCCTTTTCCTTCTTGACATCTGGTGACATGGTGGATTTGTCAATATACTATCTTTAGCCCCTCTTTTCCTTTCTGAAGGTTGATTATTGCTTTAGTTACATCTGAAAATGACTCCGTTGTGTTAGATCATCCACTAAACTCACCCTGCTAGGGAACAAACAGGCCTACAGAGATTCAAAAGGCTTTCAGCCAAAATGCAAAGAGGGAATACTACCGTTCACACTGCACTGAGTTGTATTTCAAATGCGGAGCAGAGCCACAGCCTCCACACTGACCTCCGCATCAGCCTCGGGATAAGGCCAAATGCTGATGCACGGCAGCTTGATCTCTAGCTGCACTATCTGCAGTCAGCATGACAGAGCATATGCTGTCGTGCCAATTTAGTCAGACTTTCCCCAGACTATTTGCTGCACTCTAGAGACCAGAAATTCCCACCAGCAGATACCCATTCAGGATGCTTTGTTACAGATTCTTAGTGACATCTTCTGGACGCAAACAGTAACAGACAGGAAAATGAGACAGTAAGCTTGTCTGCTTGCTCTTCTTGCAGAGTTCATTCCATGTCAAGCTATTTCACAGATGGTATCTTGTACACATTCACATGGCTCCTGGGCACCACGCTTTCCCAATCATGTATTTCAGATATGTGAAGATACTCTAAATGGGGGAGATATAGTATCCTGGAATATTTTGGTTTAAAGCAGCAATACTTGCCCCTGGAGGATAAGATAAAAATTCCCCTGGATCCCCTCCTTTCAACACCTGATAGTTTACCTGCAGTTATACTCAAGATTTGTTTAAACTACAAGTTTCACATGGCTCTTCTAATGCTCCTGTTAACTAGGGTCTCTGTGTCCTTTTAATCTTCTCTTTCTCTTGCATTCATACTCATACATGGGCTCTTCTTCCTCAGGCCTCCTTTCCCCAAACTAGACAAGGCAGCCTGATGATGCACTGCATGTCTGTGGGTGTGTATTTTTGTCACAGGATCTTCTCCTATAAAAAGCCATCCAAGGAATGAATGTAAGCAGACTGAACGCTGACTTCTTCCCTTCACCGTTGGCAACAACTCTAGAAGGACACTTAGCAGAAGCCTCAGACTAAGCATTCAACTAAGAGCCAGGAGCTCTTTGCCTCTGACTAGGCCACGCGCCCTTAACAGCTCTTGGGCTCCATCTCCCCCCTCCAAGGTGAAGGTAACACCTCCTGTCACAATCAAAACAGAAGGAAGCTCAGAAGATTCTTGAATACAGCTGTACTTCAAACAGGGAAATAAACAAGGAAACCCTCAGCTCCTGCCATACCATGAAATTAGCATGAAGTCTGAGGGAATTTTGCAATCAGAAATTGTTAAGTACTATGACATGTCTGAAGTGTTGGGTGACACATAGTAACACAAATATGTTAAGAATGGGTTGTTCCTGCCCATATCTCAACCTTGAGCAGTAGTTGAGATACAAGGGAAAACAATCCATATCCATTCATCCATATATCTAGCAAGGTAACAGGAGTTGATGTTAAGGGATATAAGGGAAGCTCTTTATATACTAAGGGTGTCTGGAAAACTCTCTTCCGGATGAGAGAGCAGTTCCATACATCTAAATGTTAATGCCATTTTTTTCCCTGACACTAAACCAAGATTTGCTGCAGTATGCAAATTTCTGCAGAATGTGAATTGACAAGCTGCAGCCCTTTTTTTCTGGGCCATCAACCTTGCTTTCTAGGGAGTTGAACTGGATTTCTTTCAGTTCTTGAAAGACTTTAACTGGGTATTCAATATCTTGGAAGGGGTGAGCGCACAAACTAAAAACCAACAGGGACAGTCTTCAGTCATTTCCACAGGCATAAGGACTAAGCGCATGGAATTTGGCCCCAAGGACTCTCTGTATGCGATCCTTACACTTGCTGGGGCTGTGGATAACCCCCACGCTCCTGGATACCACTTGTGATAAGAGTCTAACTGCTAAATAGAAAACTTTACAGTCTATCATAACCAAAATAGACAGCGACACAGAACAAGCTCTAGCAGATCCATGGAAGGCCAAAAGAAAAAAAAAATGTCCTCACGAAAAAGAAAAAATTGAACATTTTAAGCAGAAAATAAGGGCAGAAGGAGAGACAGAAAGTCAGTGCAGAACAGAGTACAGAGCTGAGGGGGCTACATTACAGCTACCCAAGGCACATCTGCTCTATTCAGCAGCGTGGACACAGCAAGGTAAGGGGGCTCAAGGACTGCCGTAACTTGAGGTATGAGCAATAACTTGATAGTCAGAAGGAGAAACAAAGCTACACTGAACAATAGGTACCAGGATCATGGCCACGCCTGGCAGCTGGCTCCATGCGATGCACATGCCTCTGCCTCGCTGACTTGCAGCTCCTGCAGGCACCATCAGATGCCACTCTGCAGCACTCCTCAAGCAACCCGGCCACCTCCAACCGCTCCTGGCAGGGCCAAATCCTGGCGCCACGCCAGGGAAAGAG